TAAAAAATGAAGTTGATGATGATCCTGGAGAGACGAAACGTTACATATAAAAATTGATTATGCCATTCGATAGAGTGCAAAAAGTTGCCATGAGATAGTGTTCTTATTTCAATATCACCTAAAAACAAAATGGATTTCCAAAATTTCGATTTTTTAAAAATATTTCGAAAACTAATCATGTTAGCCTCAAAACTGGTGTGGGACTGTTTACAGGTGCTGACTGAACTGGCCACCAACAATACAGTCAGACTGTGTTGGGTGCCAGGGCACAAAGGCATTTGTGGAAATGAGAAAGCGGATGAACTTGCGAGGAAGGGATCCGAGACAGTGTTCATTGGCCCGGAGCCCTTCTGTGGCACATCTCCCAGTGTGGTCAGGCGGGCTCTGGGCAAATGGACAGAGACAGAACATAGGAAATACTGGACTTCAAGGCCAGGACATAGCCATTCCAAGGAGCTTATGGAGTATCCTTCGAATGGAAGAGCGAATGAGTTACTGAGCTTGAATAGAATCCGGCTCAGGAGAGTGACAGGACTCATAACGGGACACTGTCACTTTAGGAAACATCTACATAGACTAAAGCTTGTAGACAGTCCGGTCTGCCGAGGATGTGAATCGGCGGATGAAACTTCTCTGCATATCCTGGGCGAGTGCCCGGGATTTGCACGTAGCAGAATGGCGCTCCTTGGGAGACCCTATTTGGAACCCAAGGAGCTGAGAGAAGTGTCAGCAAGGAAGCTTTTGGACTTTGTAAAAAGGACAAATCTACTTGCTGAATAGGACTAGTAGTGGGACGCACAATAGGCCTAATTAGGCCGCAGTGCTATGGGACTTTTAAAGGACCAACCACTAGATGAAGAAGAAGAAGAAGAATCATGTTAGCCTTGATTTTTTAGGGACATAATGTTAGTCCCCTGGTTATGCAACTTTACCCCCATTGCTACTTCGTATCTCTTAACGCTTTCGAGATCCCTGTAGTAAGAAGCGAATTTGTAACAGCCTGTATAAGTATTAAAAAGATTAAAGTCTTCTAAAATTTTTTGTCTACATGTTCTTCTAGAAGAAACACGAAGAAATTATGGGGACGGTTATAGTGAACCACCCAGTACCTGTATAAGAAGGAACATGCAAAAGTTTATATTAAATACTTCTATCTAGTTAGGGAGAATATAACTGAAGTTATATAGGTTAATCGTCTTATAGTAAGTTCAAATAACTGGGGTCGTAAAATTTACACAGGCTTAGTTATATAAACTTCTCTTTACGAAATCGCCCATTTGTTATCGGTTTCCTTAAGTTCTAAATATCTTCCAACGACGTTTGCGTCAAAAAAATTTTTGTACTATACGTACTTAGCGCCACGTTTCATGACAAATTGTTATTTATTCGATATTGCATATATATTTTACGTTATGAATTGGTGGTGATAGTGAATCTGGCGTGCTTTATAGGATCCTAAAAAGCTCAATCAAATCTGTCATTGTATTCTTTCTTTTAGAGTGGACAGTTTCCTTAGATACAGCAATATTTTAAATTAAGAACGAGGCAATCTCGGCAGCTGTTAGATATTTTAATGTTGTGGTTCTCTGTATTGCTTTAATTTATAAAGTTATAAAAATCAAGGTGATAGAAAATATATTTTATTTCTAACTGTACGGCAAATCCTTGTTTATACAGTAATCCAGAGAAAGCGTTATTATATCAGAGTTATTAATAGTTTGTTGGGATCTTACCGGACTTCCATCTTACTAATTTAGTTAAGACAAAGAGGAACATTACAGCATTTGCAAGGAATGTCACAAATGTATGACAAAACCAGTGTCCTGTATATTTTTCAGGATTTTCTAATTTAAGAAATTGAGCTATTTTATTATGGAAAGAATCTCAACTCTGTGAGATGTATTTACCACATCGGTACCCTAAGGACATTTTCTCTGACACAGAACGACACTTTTCCAGGAATTTTCAAATTAAAAATTTTGTAAGTTATATAAATTTAATGTTACATTAAATTTTTTTAGATGTGGAAAACTGAAACAAAGAGAGATATAAAATTAAAATTATTTTCTTCATATTTTTATTTATGTGACTTTTCTGCCAGCTAACCTAAATTTTGTAATGAATTTCTTTAATATTTCATTTAAAAATACAAGTTTTCTCATTTTACTTCAACTTAACCAACCACTTTTACAAACTTTACACATTCATTAAAGGCATATAATTTTCGCTTGTTGAATCCTAGTAGAGAGATAGAGAGAGATTATACTACAGCTTCTCATAACCTATATTTTACTTGTAGATGAATATAAAGGAGTTACAGAAAACTACTTCACTATATTTTAGAAAAATTTTGTGTAATAAATTTAAGGGAAAGCAACGTAGATTGCTAGAAAATTGAGAACAGCAGAACTCACAATACTTAAAGAAGACGATTCTTTATTTAAATTTGTCGAAGAAATATTTGAGGTGTACTTTGTAGCGTCTAGGCCAAGTTTGTTTAATTAATTAAGCTTTCTTTTATTAGCAGGGTAATGAATAAGTTAAACAAAGAGGACAAATTTAATTAAACATAAAATACTGTTAAGGTTATAGAATATGAGACAATCTAGCCAAGTAATTCTTTCTAACCATCTAATCAACAGAAATGTATACAGAGTGTCACGAATTCACATGTTAAATTTTACCTGATGATAGAACTGCTTAAAATAAAAAATAAGTTTCCCATAATTATAGGTCGGATAAATTGAAAGGTGTTTTTTTTTTCTCAATTACATTTTAGCATCTGCGTAGCCGAGATATTTCGCAATCCTGGACGGTATGCTACCGAAAGTATTTTTGCCTATTGGTTGCGTAGTACATCGACCATTCTGATATATCAGAAAAAACGTCGTTCTTTAATTTCTTTTAGTTGCAAAGATATATACTGTCGATACAATTGGAGAGCGTGCATTTCATTTTCTTCCACAATAGTAGAAGATTTTGGTACTCCAGTTTTTGTATCGTCAATTTTTACTACAACAACGATTGCTTTATCATATATGTCATCTATCGAGAGCTTTACCAACTCATCTCTTCTTAATCCTCCAAAAACACCCATTACTTAATACATAATACATAATGTATTTGCTTACGTACCAAGGAAGCACACTGAAAGAAATGGACTTATTAAACTGTTTATCTAGAATAATGTGTATAGCGCATATTAAAACTTTTATAACCAATATACAACTTTTATTAAAAAAAAGCAATAATCTCCATACTCATTATTCAATCAGTTTAACTGAAAGGTGCTTAATACACCTTATGCATCTATGAAATAAAGGTTATAATGAATTACTTATACATTATTAGGTGTTATAGACTTTATATTCCAGTTGTATAGTAGGGAAGATTTGTTGTATAAAGACCAGTATCCGAATTTGTATATAACAATTGTATTAACAGAATTATTCGTTCTTATACTGAATATGTTTCCGTTTTTAACGTGTAAAACGCATCTTATAATGGTTAAGTGATCGTCACCTCTCGGTGCATAATCGGTTATGATCGTTGTTAAGTTATATTCATAGTCTTGTAATAATAATCATATGTCAGACCCGAGAGCGAAGTGCGCCGACTCAATAAGAAACCTGGCTATTCCAGCCGCTGATTTAGGGTTCGCCGCACGAGCTCATCCCTTCTAAGATTTCAGTAGCATGCTATGCATGAAGCAGAACGGTACTCAACTATCTTATACAGTCCACTTTTATTGTCCATACATGTTCAATCATTGTCAAAATAAACACACAAAACCACAACGTCTTTATTATCTTTACTCAAGAAGAGAAAATACAACAATCGTAAAATTTCCGACAGTCCGCTGTGCATCGACTTACACACGTCTAGTTTGATGAAAATGGACAGTATATGCACATGTTTTGTGGGATACATGATCATATCGCGTTGTGTGAAATGGAAAATTATTATGTAAGTATCTAACTGTTTTATGGCTTGTAATTGTTTTGTTTTTTCAAATGTAAATCTTGTCTAAATCTTAAAAATTATTATTTTGTAGGTCCTATTAGAAATCGCTGATGTTAAGTTTTACATAAGATGGAGGAACAGAAGGTTAACGGTGACAAAGAAGAGCATGGGTATAAAGTCAATCAACCAGAGGAAATAAAATTATATGGAAAGAAGCTCAACCTTTCTGGGGATGCTTCATTCTTAAGGTGGAAGAGTTATAGTGCAAATTCTCATGTAATACAAGAAAATACGGGTGCATCGTTGCTAAGAAAATAAACTGGACAGTTTTGGGAGCGATTTGTCATCATTTTTAATGCTTAAAAGTATGTTTTATGTATGTTTACATTAGAACCTTAGCTTGTAATTACAGTTATCCAATAAAATTTCTGAAAACTTAATGACATATTATGTTTTTAACTCATACAGAGTATACAACAGTTTAATACATTTATTATTATAAAACTTATAACCAGCACTAGATGTTCCAATAACGATATGGAACACTTTAATGACAGTTATTGCTATTACTTCGTAGGGTATAAAAAACGTTGTATATTAGTTATACGATAATTTAATAAAGAATAAGGTTTATATTCACTATACAACTGTGCTAGCAATACGCGTTTTATATCCAATATTCACCTGTTTAACTGTCATATAATATACAATGGTCTTATAATTGTATATAGAATTCTAATAAAGAATAAAACGCATTTCTTTCAGTGCATGTGCTATATTTTGAAATATATAAATAATTGTAATGCTACGACGAAATAATTTTTGTGATTTAAAACTTCCAGTCAATATTTTTTGTATTTAAATGGCAATACTTTGGATATCAAATACTTAAAAAAACAGTATATCCAGAACTCACCGTATATTTTCTATTATTGGCGTTGAATTGTGGGATAAAGAATTTACTTTGGCTGTGGGCACAAATAATTGTGCGACAAAAACGACTTTTTCAGTTCATTAACGTCATTTTTTGTTTTCAGGTGACCTTCTGGACATTTTCACCCTAACGAATTCGGCTATCAACTTCATATTATACTGCATCATGTCCCAAAAATTCCGAGAAGTGTTTAAAGCAAACTTTTTCCCATACATACCGTGTTTCAAGAAGATGAAGAACCAGTGGATCTCCCTCCAGACTGTCAATACTCTCGTGGAGATCTGATTCCTTGAAATGCGTTACGTTTGTGTACGATACATGAATTGCAATTAATTTTAACAGGGTAAAAATGTTAATGTACTATTAATGTAATGTCGATTAGGAAATGAAAGCGCGGCACAATATGCGTGTGAGCCCCGCATATTTGTGTGGTGGGAACGCTTTGTTCTTAATGTATTTGTAATAAAAATCTTGTTGTGAACATTAATTAATGATTTGAAAAAATTCTGGAGATGTTGTGAGAAAAAACTGTTGATCAATAAAGCTGGCTTGGATTAAAAAAGTACAAACTTAAACGTAATAGAATCTGATTCAATCCGTTTTTAGTCAAAGCTAACCTTTTAAATGTACGAAAATTGGCACTGGAAGGAACTGCCTATGTGTATTTGCTTCAATTTATTTTATTTATTTGTCTGAACAACTTTTGCTCATAGCAGCGTTCGCTTTCGTAAACCCTCAATTTAATTTTTTTGTACAAGCTCTGTTTGGATGCAAACATATTTTTTTCACTGCTGTGTTTATATTGCAAAAATAAGTATTTAATGGAAAAAACTGTTTACAGTAACAGTAAATAGGTTGCTTCAAAATGCAGACAGATAATTGGGTGCTGAAAAAAAAAAAAAGAAAATGACCCGAGAAAAAAGAAGTAATTACAGGTGGTGAAGATATGCCGCCCAAAATATTACTGAATATAAATAATTTTTATTTATTTTTTATTTTCATGATGATAATCAGCTTTTTTTTTCCTGGCCATATAATTTCTTGAATTAATTTACTGGGAGAACAGGCCACAATTAAATAATTTTTTATAAAAAAATATTTATTACGATTCTACCTACCAAAATTAAATTACCTAAATTGCATAAAGAGAATTAGACTTAGACCAATTATTAGTAATATTTCTGCTAATTAATAATTTGTCAAGATTTCTATCAAATTATATTTCAAATATTTTAGGAAAAAATGACTATTATATTAGACTCTTGACAATTTTGTGAATTTATTAGAATACAAATTATTGCCATTGAAAATAACCATAGTTTTAACTTTGATAATATCAAAATAACGAAAGTAATTATTATAAAAGGTACATTGTGTTAATGATACAAAAGAAAAGAAATGAATATTCAATTAATAAGTGACATTGATGGATTGTCACGTATTTATTTTGACTTAATTAAGTAATATAATTATTGCAGTTTTACATTTTTCCATTAATTTTAAAATTAGATGCAAGTTTAACTACATGTACATCGTCTATATAATTACTGATAAAAAACCGTTACTATTTCTTTTGAACATTCCTTACCTTGACTTGGCTTGGTTTTGACAGATAATTTTCACATTTCAATTCGTTTTCTGACGCTATTAATTTCTATATATTGTTTTAACAATAAGAAAAAATAAGAAAATGTAGTTATTTAATTGTTTTACATGATATGGTTAATATGAATGGATGTTAAACAATAATTGATGACCGATTGTAAGTTTTAAAATGTTTTGTATTGTCTTAACTAGATATTTTAGAAAATTTTAGACTTTAATTTTTACATAAGAAAAAATATTATAATCCATGGTTATTATTGTTTTATCTGAAGATGGGAAAAATAATCCCAAAACGATCATAATAAAATTTTGTACAACAAATTATTTCATTGTGACCTGTTCTCCCCGTAAATAAACAATTTTATTCAAGATGATAATTAGTACAGTTTTCGAGAAAATAATTTTTGATGTAGTACATTAAAGAGACTTGGAAATCAAAGGTTGCATTGAAAATTTTTCTGATACATTACACCAATTAAATAATAATACAGTTAATATTATAATACGAAGAATGGAGCTCTTGTCGAATTTAAAATTCCTTTCAATTTGGAAACCAATAAAAAAGCAAATCCCTATCCCGCAGAGAAAGAACTTTACTAGTATTCGTATTAGTTTCCTTATTTTTATTTATTACACCGTACCCTTCTCACTAAGCATTGTCAAACCTTTGTATACGGGATTTTTTGCTAACAATTAATTTTTTTTACTGTTTCAGTTTACCTATTCAGAAATTCCTGAAACTTGTGTTGTCAATCTCAGAGATATCATACCTATGTATAATTTGCTTCAGTGTACCACAAATCATCCCCAAAATGACAGGTGACAAATGAACATCTATCTACTACGATACGGTTGATTCCCTAAATCTTAATTTATTCAGGTAAACGTTGGATTTCCAATGACAATTTACCGATTGGGAAAGATAAAATAAAAACTTATTCTGATTTACGTTTCATGATTTGTTCTTTCAGGGAGAATAACCACACCTATAATTTATGTTCGTTTCATCCATTTCAGTCAATATTTTAGGAATTAAAAATAACAACACTGTAATTAGATGGAACTACAACACATTTTAAAATAAACTGATGCTACTGATGTTAGGATTATATACACCACATTGTCATAAATGTCAACCATAACCGACTAATAGATATTTACTTAAGATCTCTTTCGAAAGATTTTGCTCCTTGGTAGAAAAATACATGCACCAAAGTAACATCTAAATGTCCAATATTTTTACTAATCATTTTAACTTATTTTACAGTTTGCATTTTATTTCAATTTGGACTAATTAAAAAAAAGGACAAAGTTTGCTACACAGCAGGATTCATATAGTTCCGCTTACTGGTAATAATTTTAACTTGTTTGTCTGAAACACTTTGTATTCTACATAAATACGTAAACATCACTCCAATGCATAAAAAAACATTTCCATCAGTTTGCACGGAAACAACATACGAGTACACCTAATAAAAGTGTTTTTCTTCGAAAACAAATTTTGATAGTAAAGTAAATGAAAATTTCAAATAGAATTACATTTAAAGCAAACAGCAACTGAAGAAAAACTGTTATTTATTGGACTATTGGACTACTAATTAAGAAAATTGATTGCTAGTGAAATGGTTAGGTATGAAAAGAAATAAAACTTTTCTGTCAGTTAATTCGATTGCTGATATTTAATTAGTATTTATCGCGTGCAGACGTATACCTTAGATATTTTTTAAAAATGTTCTAATAGAAAATTATACGCAAAGTAACTAAGTCAATTAAACTATTTTCTTCATATTAATTGCGAAACATATGATGAAAAGTTTTCGTTATTACGTACATCTAAACAAATATATCTAAATCTTGTTGAAATCAGACTTGTAGTCGTATTTAATTTTTTTTTTATGTTAAGAAAATTGTAGGTGCCTACGAAGGTACCTGCAATATATAATTCTACGACTCAATATGTAATAATATCTTTTCTGCGCAATTTTCGTGTTTTAAGAGAAAAAGAGGTTACTTACTATTAAAGGAGAATATAAAATGGAAATGGAATGTGGGTGAAACAAAGACGGTGTGAGTAATATAGCCGGTATAAATTTTCACTGAATTCCAATCAGTTGAGAATACTTCGGATTCAGGAGATATGTCTGGAACAAAACGGAATTATCTCCTTTGTCAATTACATGGAGGAGAAATTCTGAATAATGCAGTCGAATCCAGAGTTTTGAATGAAGTGCGACTAGTTAGCTTTGAATTCGGTAAAATATTTTCATTAGAGAGCTAGACGTAATAATAAAATTTTAACTGTTTAAATATTTAAACAATAATCACAGCTATGTTCCAATAAGATGCTTTCAAATTCTTGTGCTTCTAAATCTTAGATCATATTGAAATATGATATTATAGAAGATATTTTAAAAATATTTTTAGTTAAATCTTACAGTGTTACATATTTTAATCAGTTATTTTAAAAAATTATTACTACTATTATTACTACTTAAATAAAATTTCAGAAAAATAAGTAAATAAAATATTTTTAAATTTTATGAAAACTTTGATAGTTAGATAAACGTAGAAACTAAGTATACCTAATTATAAGTCCAATATAAGTCTAAATAAAAGACACCTTTTAATAATTTGACTTCTTAAACCGCCAACGAATATTTTACATTTCACTCTGAATGACTTCTTGACTCAGTTTCATTTAATGACATCGATTGCGATCGTAGTACCTATTAATCTGCTGCTCACCAAAGATAATTAATTTTAATCTAAATGAATAAGAATCACCTCAAAAAGGCTTCAGAATGTTATAATTAGTTCAAATTTCCGCTTCGAAATCCTTTCGTATAGATTTAGCAAAGGTAGCTGTTATTAGAGAAGCGAGTGTAATCGCATGAACTCCGCTAAAAGAGATAAGGGGAAATCCAATTTAAACAGCAGGAAAATTTGGATACGGTCTAGTTTAATAAAAGATACGTCAGGTAAGTATACACAATTAAGTAAATTATAGGTATTTATGAAAAACTATAAATTTCAATTGTTTTCCGTTAAGAAAAGGTGGTATTCAAAGGGAGATGAAAAAATCCTTATTTCAACGACAATGGCAATGGCAAACTGAATTCTACTTGTAGTTGGATTATATGCAATTTGCGAGTTAAATAATATGTTTTAAGTTTGCAATTGGCGAATCTTTGGAAACAACCATTTTGAATTAAAGGCATTGTCTTAATGAATCAACAATAAAAAATTAAAGGAAATCCACTCACTCTTCAGCATTACTAAATATATTTACCTAAAATCTGTTGAACTAAATCAGTTGGCCTCAATAATTCTCATCAAATTTTATTGAAACCCGTTAGAGAACTGACGTAAATTTCCGATTTTAGAATATATTTGCATAATTTTCGATGTTCTTTAAAGGAGAATAATTTTTCATCAACGTAAGTCTGGATGAATAAATTCCAAATTATAATGAAATACCCAAAAAACAGGCATAAAACAACGCAGGGGTGTAATTTTAAACATTAAGGTGCGAGCTGGATGCAATAAAGTGGGTTAATTTTATTTATTTTGTATATTTTAATACCTTTAGATACCCCGGGATTTTTTTTACAGAATGACCCATATTCAAAACCTGTATACAAAAATTGTTTGAGTGTAAAAACTATGAGGTAAATCCGTACTCACTTTTAAACACAACTTGACAAAATAAAAAAATACGTAGCCACAAGGCTCAATAGTTATTAAATTTATACAGGTGTAACAAATTTTACTCAAGTTTTTAATGGCAAGTAAAGAGTTTCTACAGACATGTGGATCATTTTAATTTGCAACGTCAGGATGTAAGAGACGTGTCAGCGTTAGTTTCTGGTAATCCTAAAATTGTGTACATGCCTCATACATT